GGGATAAGTAATCGTTGCCTGAGGCTGCATGCAAATTCTACCGTTAAAGAAAAAAAAACGTATTAAACAAACAAGGCGCGACCCGATGTACTCGTACAGAACTTTTAATTAGACAGAAGAAAATCAGGAGAGGCGAGGGCGAAGGTGGAACGAAGGGGTGAAAAAGCGGAATAAATTGTGAGAGAACATCGGGTGAAAATCCGCATGCGTCCACTCGTTAATCGGCATGCTGCAAAACTGCGCAACGCTGAATGCAAGGTGAAAAACACACGGTTTACGAGGCGGGACATATTTACAGAGAGATGTAAAAATGTAATCTACGTACCTACTTGACGTCACAAGCCGCGTTAAAACAGGGCACATCTCAGTGAGTATTCATTATAGGGCCGAGGTGATAGTAATTACGCGAGCATTCGTTACGAACGCTCGTTAGGAACCGCGTTTCTTTTTTTTTTCTTTTTTTTTTTAATATAATATACGCGTATGTACAACGCGTTTTCGTTGCTCGGGGTGGTTTTTTCTTTAACGACGCCTCGAACGAACCCCAAACTCGATTCATCGGTGTCTCTTGCTTTCCTTTCTCCATCTCCTCCTCTATTTTTTTTTTCCTTTTTTTTTTCTTTGGTCAATTTACTCATCTACATTCTATCTAGAGGATCACCTCTGTTTCAATTAATTGTCGTTAAATAAATCAGTTCTTCGATATTGGCAATGCGAAACAGAAACTGAAACTATTGATCAAGTTAGAGGTTCGACTGCATCAGAATAGAGACGGCGAGACGTTTTTTTCGTGAAAGAAGAATCCACGTTTTTCTTTCAATCAGCCGATATATGTACACTCGTTCGACTATCGTTCAATGTTTCGTACGAGAATTTCCAGAAAACGTTCGATCTTCTGAGGTACAACGTCAAAGATTCTGACATTGTTCGTGCAAACGACATAAAACTTGTGATATTGCAATTTTATTTTAATAAATAAATATCGACGACCGACCGTTTTCATTTACTACGAAAGTCGACACATCGGTGCGTTGTTTTCTAACCACATAGTCAAGTGCAATTTTCTTGCATTGGTCTGTGCCAACAAAAATACACATACCTATATATTTCTATATACGTATATATATATATATATATATGTATATATATTTATAGTACACGTGAGTCCAC